TTTCTTTCTTTCTTTCTTTCTTTCTTTCTTTCTTTCTTTCTTTCTTTCTTTCTTTCTTTCTTTCTTTCTTTCTTTCTTTCTTTCTTTTAGGCGTTACTAGATGCAGGTGCTTAGAAAAGGTTTTCTTTTTCTTTTTTTTTTCTTTCCTTTTTTTTTTTTAAAACTTTTGGGCAGAACCTGGTTTCTGATGAGCCAGTGATTGTCTGTAATAGGAGAGAGAGGCACAAAAGCCTCCCCAGACAACAGCCTGTTCTCGGTGGGGTGGCCATGGGCTGCGAGCATGGTGGAGGGAGATTGAGTATTTATTAAAATATCTTTTGTCAGCCAGATTTATTTTCATCTGCCTTCACGAGATGTGATAGTTTTGCATCAGCACATCTAAATGAAATAATTTGCTAAAGGTCGAAAGCAATTCCCTCCAGCCAGTTTTCATTTACCTTCTAATTAATAACTAAACGCCCATGCATACGTTAGTCCGAGGCTCATGCATAAAATAATAACTAAGGTTTATTGAACACCTATTATGTTCCAGGCCTTTTGCATGCATTAGCTCAAATCCTCACAACCCTGGAAGGCAGGAAAACCCTTTAGTGGAGGGGGAAAAATGCCTAGATAGGCTCTATAGTTTACCCTTGGTCATGCAAATTACCAAGTCGGGCCAACACTCCAAGCTCTCTCAAGCCACCACCACCATGCTGCGAGGCTGCCTACAAGGGTTGGGTGCTCATGCCATCTGCTGCTGCTGCTGCTGAGGAGAGAGGGGAGAGGTCAGTGTGGACGTTGAGTCTGACTTTCCTAGTCAAACATGTCCCTAGAAAGGGACGGCTAGTCACCCAAAGCTTGCTCTTCTTGATTGTTGTGGCGTGTGTGGGGGTGCGGAGGATGAACGCTGTCTGAGGCAGGCATCCTCTTTACTCAGCTCTGTTTTCTTCCGTCACTTCCTCATCAAGTGACTGCAGGTCACTTGCTGGTGGCTGCAGGTGACCTACAGAGCATGTGTTGAACCGTCTGGCAGATTTAGACATGCCTTACTTGGAAAGGTGAACGGGGCAAAGCCGTGATGACGTCTGAGCCGCCGATAGCACGTGGGCTTCAGAGTGCTGTCCGGCGTTCCTTCCAGGGAGACGCAGCGAATGAGGTTAAGCAGGTTTCTGAGGCCAGGACTGGGGCCACCCTACTGCAACCCAGCACTAAGAAGTGTGAGGCAAGAGGATTCGAAGTTCAAAGCCATCCTTGGCTTGATAGGGCGTTGGAAGGCAGCCTGGGCTACATAGTGTCCACAGTGCTGGGGTTTCAGGTGCATTGCATAATGCTTGACTTTTTGTACAGGATCTGAAACCTTCATGTTTGGGAAGCAAGCCCATCCACCCAGTAAACCATCTCCCCAGCCCCCTCTGTTGATTCTTTGAGACAGTATTTTAGGCTAGCCTTGAATTCCTTCTATAGCCAAGGCTTCAGTAGCTGATCTTCCTGCCTCTAATTCCCAAGTGCTGGGATTATAAGAATGACTGAGCCATAATTCTCTTAATATGTTAAGCTTGAACAAGCCAGATAAAATTTGAACCATTCTGAGTGCTTATTTGGCATTGCAGTTTAGTGACAAACGGCTAAATGGGCTCCCTAGAGTCTCCCTTTCATTACAGCGGCAATTTTGGTGAATTTTCTGATGTTGGGCTTCCCTCTTTCAGTGTCAGGACATTACCTAAGACATACACCACAGAGAAGCTTCTCAAAAGAGATACGACTCACCCGCATCAAGCCAAAGAGGACCCGGGACCCTCAGCTTGTTCAAGTCCAGATTCCTCCCAATGCCTTGCTCACCAACTAAGAGGAGATTCAGGGATCTCTCCATCCAAAAGAGTCCTCAGTAAATTCTGACGTGGAGAAAGTTCTGAAGATCACCATTGAGATATCAAAAAAACAGGAATACAAATAATAAAAGCACAGGTATAGTTATTCTTTTTTTCATTGTGCAGGGGTGTGTTGCATGTGCAGTATTTAGGTTCATGAGAGTGGGCAGTCTGTGAATGCATGTGTGTGTGTAGTGTATAGGTTCACGTGTGTTCCGTGTGTGGTCAGCACACGGGTACATGTGTGTGGGAGCAGTATGTGGGCGCTCGGGTTCTGAATTTAGGTCCCTTTGCTTGCTAGGCAAAGCTCTACTGGCTGTGGCCTACTCCCTGACCCTCAGCCTAGCTCTTAGAATAGCAAGCACGTTGTATGAAGTGGGGTTCGGCCTCCAGCAACATCCCATGAAAAGCGGCACAAGGTCCGCATTCACACCGAGCTCTGTTGCCCCAGCCCTCGTTATCTGTCTGTGTTTAAAGGTGATTCATCCTTTCCCTTTGAGTAAGCCTTGCAGATTCCTAATTCCTGTGAGGAGTTTGGAAATCTGGGGCTCCTGGCGTCTCCTCCCAAATTACTGGCAGCCTTTGTTCCACTGGAGCGTTTACTGGAATTTTTGAAACTCTCACCTGCCTGTGATGTCTCATGACTGGCGAAAATTCAGCTCACCTCTTTCCTCATCCAGCTCACGGAGGCCCTGGATTGTCAACCTGCTCCCTACGCTCCACCAGTTTGAAAGTGGGAGAGAGGGGAATCTTATGGCAATTTGCATAAAAATATTTTTCCAAGAGGGGAAAAAACAAAACAAACCTCTTGTCAACCAGACCACACCTTCTCGTCTACAAAGCCTCTCCAGATGATGTGGCAGAAGATTTTTTTTTTTAATTTTTATCGAGTGGATGATTAGTTTCCAATTAAATTAGCAACTACACCAATCCCAGCTGCTCTTGTTTCTTGCCGCCTGCTTTGATTATCGGATGCAACGAACTTCTTTCCCCTCTCTTAATATTTTAACTCGAGCAAGCCCGATAAGCTTGCAGGCCTCTGTGGGGCACTGGGGTGACGTCACACCAGCGCAGTTGGGCCCTGCAGGGGCAGCGTCGGGAGCTGATCTGCAAGGCACTCCCATTTTTTGTGTCAGAGTTATTTTGTTTACACTTTCCAATTAAAAATATTTATTTTTATTTTTACTTTAGGCATATGGTTCTTTTGTCTGCATGTATGCATGTGAGCCAGGTCATGACTGGTGCCGTCAGAGGCCAGGAAAGGCCTGGAGCTGGAGTTACAGGCAGCCAGGTGGGCGCTGGGAACTGAACCGGGGTCCTCTGCAGGAGCGGCAAGTGTGCTTAACCTCTGAGCCAGGTCTCCACCCTCTTATGTCTCAATTTTTCAAGAGATTTGATATTAATTTGGCTTCATCCCCCCATCTCCTATTGAGGATAGAATTTCTGGCAATTATCACAGTGTGTCATTAGAACGAAAGTCATTTGAATATTTTATTGGCAGGCTAGAGGAAGAGCTTGAATTGTCATGATGAGGTATTATTTGTATAGCATGGCCATTAAGGAGTAGGTTTTGTATCAGTTGATGATTCATTCATTTGTCATTTCAGCAAACATTTATTAAAGATCCATTTTGTGTCTTGTGTTTCTGGTTCTGAGAAGAAATACAGTATCTCCGTCAGGCTTTTCCAATTAGCGGAGGATAAGTGCAAGGCCTCGCAGATGGCACTCATGCGCTTACGGTTCTCTTTTGTGGACACTGTCCCCGGTGTTCAGGGCAGCTCAGGACGGGCGCTTTCTCAAGGGACTGTCGAGCTTTGGTTCCACATTCACCATTTACCTGTGGCCAGTTTGAGCCCCATCCTTTTTTTTTTCAGTCAAGCAATACCAATATATTGCAGCCGAACTGGCCATCTGTGATTCTTTTTAAAAATGTATACATGTATGTACGTTCACATGTGTGGACTCAACATGTGTTCGTGCGCATTCTGGTGGAGGCCTGATTAAACCGGGTGTTTTCATTCTCCAACTTGCATGTTCAGGTTAGTTTTTTTTTCCTTCCTGCTAACTTGACACAATCTGGATTCCCCTGGAACTGGAGTTACAGATGGTTGTGAGCTGCCTTGTGGGTGCAGGGAATTGAACCCTCGTCCACTGGAAGGGCAGCAGGTGGCTTCAACCGTAGAGCCGTCTCTCCAGCCCCCACTTTGCTTTTCTTTGACTTCTGTACTCTTGGGTATAAGTATTCCGATGCTCTTTAACTGGCGCAACCTCTTCTGTAGAAAAAGAGAGGCAATCCTAAGAGCTCTTAGGCTGTCACCCTTTTAGAAATATCGTCAAGGAAAGAGGATTTGGGGGCCACACAAAGCGTTCCGGTGAGCTTCAAACAATGGTGGGCTCAGCATTCGACTGACTTGACAGTACAAAAGGATTCATAGCTGTATCTAATCAAATGAAAATAGCCCTTGCTTCCAAATCAGCCCTATTGTGTTCTAGAACACAGAAGGTTCTGCGGAGGAGAATAGCTGAGAAGACACAGTGCGTAGCTTGATATTACACAGATCATTTGCATTAAAATACAGGCTTCGGGGGGGGGGTGGGCTTGGCACTAGATGTCTGTGTTTCAATCTGCCTTTGTCTTTTACCCACTGGATAATGTTGAGCAAGCTTCTTTTCCACTCTGGGCTTGTTCTTTTAACCATAGAATGAGGGAAATGGTGGGGTCTGTAGGGTGGTTTGAATAAAATGTCTTTCTTAGGTCTCGGGTATTTGAATCCTGGAGTCCCCGTTGAGTGGCTGTTTGCAAAGGATGAGGACGTGTGGCCTCGTTGGAGGAGGTGTGACATGGGGGGTGACCTTATGGTTCCAAAAGCCTCCCTCCATCCCCACTGAGCTCTCTCTGCTTTCTGTTTGTGGGTCAGGGCGTGGGCTCTTCGCTGCTCCAGCGTCATGCCTGCCTGCTACCATACTTCCTGCTATCACGGTGATGGACTCGGTCCCTCTGCTACTGTAAGCGTCAAATAAACCCCTTCTTCCGTTAGTTGCCTTGGTCACGATGTTTTATCACAGGAATAGAAAAGTAACGAGCACAACCTACTTTTCTGGGAGCCATGAGGATGAAATGGGTAATTCCTTCAGCACATCATGGGTGTTTAGCACAAGTCCAAAGCCGGTTGCTTGCTGTGGTTTGGGAGCATGGCCTGTCCTAACTCTCGTTTCTGGGTTGCACAATGTTGGAAATGCAAGGTAGTGTGTTGATAGATGATGAGGCATCTTATTATTTTTGACACATCCACCCAGCGACTGTATTTAGTGAGATTTGGAGCTAAGTACTTACTAACTTATGAATGTAAGTGCCAGCCCACGGGCCTGAGCCTAGCAAAGTTCCTGGGCTGAGGGAAACTCCATAGCAAATAGGGATTAGGAAGAAAGTTAACATTTTCCGTTTCACTGCGATTCCCCAGAAAGCTACATCCGCTGGCCACAGCTCCATGGGAGAGGGCAGTTCTCGCCTTAGTCATTATAATTTGGTGTTCAGCTTCTTCCCACCCAACATGTAATCACAGGCAAACATGACTCTGAGTTCATATATTGTTTAAGGTCTGAGTTGGGTTCTCTGGGGCGCTGGCAACATTTTGTTCAGTGTGTGTATGTGGGTGTGTGTTTAGTAGCTAATACATTCACATGGTGCAAATGTTAAAAAAAAGTAGATGTTTCGTGGAACCCCTCCCCCCCGCCCCGTCTTCAAAGTCCAGGACCTCATTGGTAGTTACTTACCAAGTCAGGTTTGCAGCAATGAAGGTCAGGAGGCCTGACTTTGTGGGAGCTTGGATTTCACTGTTTGGTTAGTATCATCCCTTGAGATTCTCCCTCTTCCTTTCTGAGATAGAATCTGGCTCTGTAGCCCAGGCTGGCCAGAAACTATGTGGTCTTTCTGTCTCAACTCTCCTAGTGCTAGGATTACAGGCGTGTGCCATTCACATCTGGCTATTAAAATTCTGAATAATTTTGAACATCGCCATTTCATTTTGCCTTGAACCATGCAAATATATGGCCTGTTCCTACTCCCTTGGCTTTTTCGCTCATGCATGTACCTTAAAGATTCTTTTCATTTCTATATATAAAGGACTTATATTTTTTACAATCACCTAGTAGTAATTCCTTGAGGATTTAGATAGATCCATTTCTTGTTAGGTTGGGAATTCATTAAGAGCTTCCAATCCCAACTTTCTAGCCTTTTGATGCTTCCAAACTTGTGAGAAAGAAACCAAGAGAAAAGCACCAGGAATTTTCTCTCTGGCTGGGTGCCTCATGTAACCTGTACTGAGTTAGATGCCATCAAATGCCATCTTGTCCCTTTACCCGCTAACTGCCTGTCCACACTATATCCCACGTCTCTTTTCCCCACTGTCCCGCACTGTAGCACCTCCATCCTGTTACTGCGATGCTGCTGGGATGATGTCATCTAGCCTCTATCAGTCACCCCACATCACTTCTGTCGGCTCCAATCTGGAGGAAACTGCTTAGGGCAAATGATACAGTGGCTGCTGGAGACACATTTTTAAAAACTCCTCTTCCATTCCTCTTCATTCCCACAAATCATCATTTCTTGATGAATCTGTGGTCACGGCTGGACAATCCTCCACTTTTGGGAGGAGAGTAAAGGCCCTCCTTCCTAAGGAATCTCAGGACTGGTGAACGGTACTAGGGAAGCATTCTAAAGCCTGAAACTCATTTGGAAGCAGCCAGTGCTCTGGCTCTGTTACAGACTCCAAGCCCCAAAGTTCCTCTTGATGTGACATTGACAGCTCACTCACTCAGAAACTAGTACTGTCTATTGGGAATTTAGTCACACCACGGTGTTCTGAACAGGGCTCCTTTGGGAAGAGTAGAACGGGTAATCCACATTCCCTGAGGGGTGATACTGCAGGCCTCAGCATGGGTGGGTGGCCTGGCTGTCCCCCTCCCTTGCTACAACTTGGACTTGAGGGCATACATGAAGACTGACACATACTTGCCCTTGACACAGATGTTCGGTGGTAAGCATCAATGCAGTGGATTTCAGGAAGCTGGGGCATGCCTCAGTGACCAGAGTTGGCTGTACAACAGTTGGGCAAGG